TTACTATGTACTTCACACTGACCTTGAACTCACAGTGATCCTCCCGACTCAGCCTCCCAAGTGCTGGAATTATAGAAGTACACCATCACATCCAGTGACAATTTAATTTTGTAGCGTTAATATTTACTGCATGCCAGAAATGACATTCAGCATAACAACTAGAACTTACAGTGAAACATCTCAGATTCCTAACAATATATAAAATGATTATTTTCAAAATTCTTCTGGGGAAAACACTAATCTAGTCTTGTGTGGTGTTTTTCAGTTGCCATCTTTCACTAAGTCGGTGGCAGAGTGAAAAATAAAGACAAAGTAGAGAATTTCTTTTTCCAGTAGATGTGATTGAATCCAGAAAGTTTGAGGTTCTCATCCCTTTGTGTATTTGTTTATTCTGGTATCGGGGTCTGAACCAAGGGCCTTTGCACTGAGCAACATCCACAGTCTCCTTCCCCTTTTTGAAAATTTTGAGATAGTGTTGCACTAAATCACTAAATTGCCCTGCCCAGGCTGGGCTCAAACTTGCTAGCCACCTGCCTCAGCCTCCCAGAGTGCTGGAATTACAAGCATACGCCCCATGCCCATCTTCTTTTTTAAATTATTGGTACATTTTAGATATACATAATGATAACATTCATCATAGGGAATTTGTACCTGTCCATGAAATATCTTCCTATGTTCGTCTTAATCCCTAATGTGGATGCATGTGTCCATACATACGCATATATCTTGTTTGTGTTTTGAGATAAGGTCTCACTTTGTAGTGAGACTTGTGGCAATCCTCCTGCCTCAGCCTCCTAATGCTGGGATTACAGGTGTGTGCCACTACACCCAGATCCCTAGTATATTTTAAATATAGTGATTAAGCCCCCAAAATTGAGATGATCACTCCTATACTTGATCTTAGCCAAAAGGCCGAGAAGTGATGAGATGATCGCTCCTGAGTTGCAGATCTGAGACTTTTGGGGGAGATGTAAGCATTATTTCCATGTCTTTAAATTTCACCTCAAAAGTTACCAGGACTTCTTAGGAATGGTGGTACTAGCAGGTTACATATTCGTCAGCCTCCTACCTCTCAGGCCCACTGAGAATCCCAGTCACGATTAGCAATAATTTTTCAAAAGATGTCAGTGATAATAATCCTTAACAACTTCCAGAAATGAAGGGGAAGCCTTCCCACATACATTTGATGATCAACCTATATAAAATGCCGTTTAAAATTGCTCACACTCACAATCCCAGCACTCGGGATTCTAGGCCAGACGACTGTGTAGCAAGGCCTTGTAGTAGTAGCGAGACCTTGTCTCCACAAACAAACAAACAAAAACACTAAGAGGTTACTCTCTAGCTGTGCAAGCAGGATTTGAGGCCAGCCTGGGCCAGGGACTCCGGGAGACCCTGTATCAAGATGGAAGTGGGCTGGGATGTAGCTCAGTGCAAGGGCTCTGGGATCAATCCCCAGCACCCCTCTACTTCCCCAGACGGGCCGCTGTGCAGCTGCATCTCTGTTCACAGCCGGCAGGCCAGATTTTTGGGGTGGAGGGCGTGACTGCCAAAGGATCTTTGGAGAACCTGCGGAGAGGAGGCTGGGCTTAGGGGAGCCACGGAGCAGGGCGCGGCCTGCCCCGTCTTCCGCTGGTGAGTTTCTGGAGGGAGCTGTGAGCTGTGCTCTGGGAGTTTTTATGCCTCGCTGGGCAGCGAGCAGTGAGGCTCACTGAACAAGCACAATTGGGGTACAGCCCCTTTCCCTCTAAGTTGCCTGGCCTAACAACCGAGGGATTGTGTTGTTGACTCTTAAACGTTTCAGGATTTTCAGGTTTGCTCAAGAGACCTAAGGGATTGGCTCATGATTCAGAGTTCTTCTCACCTGCCCCTGACTCGAGTTCATACGGTTACAGCCGCGAAAGCGTGGCCGGAGGATGGGCGCAGTCACGCAGCCTCACTGCGGAGACCTCCGGCTGCGCACTGCAAGGCCGCTGGCGAATTACTCTGTGTCCTCGCCTCCGATTTCCTCCTGTCAGATGGAGCTCATGGTGGAGTGGTGGTCGCCTCGGACGCCTCAGAGGTTGGCTGTGAAGATTTAATGAGATAATACATGTAAAGTACTTAGCTCAGTGCTTGGCAAATACAGTTCAACACACTGAATAATCAACGTACTTAAATGATTTCTGCTTGTCAGATCCTCTGTTAGGTACTGGAGATAAAACGGTGAGACGCAGTCCGTGCCTGGTCCGGTCATTACACACTGTTAATGTGTATGGAAATACCACATTGTACTCCAGAAATCTGTACAATTATGTGTCATTTGAAAATTTTAAAAATAACCAAAAAAAGTTGACACGGTGTCCACTTTGATAGGTTTCAATCTAGCCTATCATCCTATAAGCCTATAATGCAGGAGGCTGAGGCAGGAGGATCGCCATGAGTTTGAAGTCAGCCTGGACTCAAGAGTCTGTCTCAAAAAGAAAAGGGGTGAAAAAAGGCTTACAAGCTAGCGGAGGAGGTTGCCAATCAAATAATCACAAGCACCAGATGTAAGAGGAGGAAGAGAAGGTTGAGTAAGGAAAGGAGAAAGAACGTGGCACTTCTAGAGCGCCGAATAGATTGACCCAGTTCTTCAGCGGGGGTCAGAGGACACTCCCGGGAACCTGAGCGTGGAGCCGAAGCAGGCTTAGGAGCTGCCCAGAGGCAAGGGAAGAAAGATGGCTGCGTGGCTTGCAGCGGAAGCCTCACTGCCAGTGGGGAGGGCGAGAAGCGCCCACGAGAGGCTCCAGCGGGGTGTTCCTGACTTGGGTGGGGTGCACGGCGCAGGGCCTGGAGCAGTTGGAAGCCCGTTCTGATAAGAGCTGAGGGAAGCTGCTGAGGGCTGGATGAAGCAGAAGGGAGGGCCAGCCAGAACACCTCTGGCAGATTTGGATTTGTTACCATCTTAGCTAAGGACCAAGCCCTAGGGAGGCCACTTCCAGAGAGGAGGAAGGATTGGACTGAGTCAATCACTTTCTGGTTTTTTTGCAACAGAGTCTCACTATGTAGTTCAGGCTGACCTTGAATCTCACTATGTAGCCTGGGCTGGACTCAAACTTGGGCTGACCCTCCTGCCTCAGCCTCTCTACTGCTACAAGTGTGCGCCACTGGGCCAGGTGATAATGGTAAAGGTGGAGGAAAGTAAACAAATTTGAGAGATATTTAGGGGAGAGAATTCAAGGAAGTAGTGATGGATTGGATATGGGCATTTAAAAAGAAAAATGGCTGGGCATGGTGGCACATCTTGTGATCCCCACACTTGGAAGGCTGAGGCAGGAGGATCACTTCAAATTCAGGAGGATCACTGCAAGTTTGAGGCCAGTGTGGGCTACATAGTGAATTCAAGGCCAGCCTGAGCTACATACATGGTGAGATGCTGTCTCAAAAAAATAAAATAAAATATAGAAAAGGCTGGGAATGTAGCACAGTACACAGGCCCTGGGTTCATTTCCCAGTACCAGAAAGAAAGAAAGAAAGGAAGGAAGGAAGGAAGGAAGGAAGGAAGGAAGGAAAACCAGAGAGAGGAATTGAAGTCTGGAGCGACAGGTGTCTCCACTGTCACAACAGAACAAGTGAGCGATGAAAGCCGGTGTCCAGCGGACATTCAGGGAGGAGGCAGGTCGTGGGATGGGAGATATCTAGGGCTGTGTCTGAGGATTATTAGCTAAGAAGGGGTAATTAAAACCAGAGTAGCAGCAATAGACTAAGGAGACGCTGTACGTCGGGAAGAGGCAGCACCGGCAAGAAGCTGTGCGACCCTTCAAACGGACAGGTGTACGTAGGGGACTTGGAGGCAACCCACATCCTCCAGGCTCTGCGCAGCTCTTTTCCCTGACAGGTCTCCCACACTTACACCAAAGTCCACTTCTGTTCACACTCCCGCTGAGATGGGAAGCAGCTGTTCATCATCTTGTGCATAACAACCCTTCCTAGGCTTGGATACTGTTATTAAGAAACCCAGCAGTCTTCTTTCTCTAACTTGGGCGAAATAATTTCTACCTCCTATTTTCTCCAACCCTTTAATCGTCTCTGTGACTCTCGGTTGAATGTCTTCCACTTTCTCCGCATCCCTCTTAGAACTGGGGAGATCGTTACTGGACATTGCTGGATTCTGTATTTGCAAGATTTGCTGTGAGACTCAGGCACAACTTCCTGTTTAGTTTTGAGGATGGGGTCTTACTATGTAGCTCGTGCTGGGCTTGAACTCACTATGCAGCCCAGCTGGCCTCAGACTCATGGCGAATGTCCTGCAGCCTCCCAAGTGCTGGGATTACAGGTGTGTGCCACCATGCCTGGGTTAAATTTTTCTTCTTTTCCTTTCCTTTCCTTTTTTTTTTTTTTTTTTTTAGCAAGGTCTTGCTATGTAGTTCAGCCCAGCCTTGAACTCACTGTGTAGCCCAGGCTGGCCTCAAATTTGTGGTGGTCCTCCTGCCTCAGCCTCTCTAGCACCAGGATTGCAGGCATGCACCAACCTCCCGGCTTAAATCTCTTTTACCATAGTAACTTCATGTTACCATAGTAATTTCAGTTTGCTCCATGTTGAGCATAAGGTTTTATATTTATTTATTTATTTGGGAGGTTACTGGAGATTGGACTCAGGACCTTGTGCTTATGAGGAAGGCATGGGTACCACTGAGCTAAATCCCCAGCCCTGTAAGGTTTTTAGTAAATCAGTTTATTTGGGTTGTGTGCGTCTAGCTGGCTAAGGTAAGTTTTTGTACTTATTGTCAACTTTTTAAAAAATTGAGTTTATTGGTACATTCTAGATGTACAGTACAGTTACATTCATTGTTGGGATCTTGTACCTTTACATGACAGGTCTTGGTTCTCATTTTTCCCCTTGTCCCTGCCCTCCCTTCACCCCCTCCTCCCCTCCACATTTACAAACACTTTATTTCCATCTTTTCATTTTCTCACATTTTTTTCTTTTCCTTTATTACCTTTCCCCTACCCATCCCACCTTCTCTACACCTTTAGCCCTTTTCTTCCCATTTCACATTGTCAATTATCTCATTAGAATCTTATGTACTATTATAGTTTATTCACACCAGAGAAACTATTCAGTGTTTACACATATGTGACTTATGTATTTGACTTAGGAGTGTATCCTCAATATGTATCCATTTTCCTATGAATGAATCAAATGTATAATTCTTTATGGCTGAGTAATATCCCATTTTATAGAAAAACCACATCTTCTTTATCCGGTTTTCAACTGATGGGTAAATGGGCTATTTCCAAGTTTTAGCTATTACAAACCGTGCAGCTATAAACATGGGTGTGCATATATCACTGTGATATGATTCTTTTAATTATTTTGGAAAGATACACAGCAGAGGGATGGCTGGGTCAAATGAAACCTCTATTCCCAGCTCTTTGAGTTATCTCCATATTGATTTCCATAGTGGTTGCACCAGTCTGCACTCCCACCAACAATGGAGCCACTGTGATAAAAACAGCATGGTACTGGCAAAGAAATAGGCCTGAGGATCAGTGGAACAGACTGGAAGACACAAAAACAAATCCAGATGTACTCAGCTACCTCATCTTTGAAAAGGATGACTATCCTCAGGGGAGGAAAGATAGCCTCTTTAATAAATGGTGTTGGAAAAACTGGATTTCAATCTGCCAAAGATTAAAACTGGACCCTTATCTTTCACCATGCACTAAACTAAAATCCAAGTGGATTAAGGATCTAAATATTAAAAGAGAAACACTAAACTTGCTGGAAGATAAGTTAGGTAGAACTTTTGAAGACATTGGCATAGGAAAAGATTTTACAAACAAATCCTCAGTAGCACGGGAACTAGCAGAAAGAATCAACAACAGGGATCTCATCTTATTAAAAAGCTTCTGCACTGCAAAAGAAACCATCAGCAGAACTAAGAGACAACAAACAATGTGGGGAAAAATTTTTACCAGCTGCTCCTCAGACAAAGGGCTATTATCTAGAATATATGAAGAACTCAAAAACAATCATCACCCCAAATATAAAGACCCAATTCAAAAATGGGCATCTGAAATGAACAGACACTGACAAAGAAGTAAAAGCAGCAAGTAAATATATGAAAAAATGTTCCACATCACTGGTCATTCGAGAGATGCAGATGAAAACAACACTGAGATTCCACCTCACCCCACAAAGAATGGCTGCTATCAAGAAATCAACTAGTAACAAATGTTGGCGGGGTTGTGGGGAGAAAGGAACCCTTATTGTCAACTTTAAATTCTTATTGTGACAGGCAAAGAAATAGTTCTCACTAGGCTGATGTGATCCGGTGATGTGAGTAGATCCGCTCCCAATCCCCAGGATATTAGTTTGAGAAGGAAGTAAAAGCTTTGTAGGTATTCCATATGCTTTCATAAATGACATAGATTAAGAGTATTTTTGTTTTGTTTTTTGAGACAGGGTTTTGCTATGTAGCCCAGGGTGGCCTTGAACTCACAGTGATCTTCCTGCCTCAGCGTCCTGAGTGCTGGGATTACAGGCATGTGCTACTAAGCCTGGCTAAGATTAAGTTCTTTTTTCCCTTTCTCATTTAAACTGTAAAATCAGATTGAAACTCTGCATGAAGAACCCTCTGTCATTTCACCCAGCACACGGGGACTGTTCTTAGGCCTCTTATTTCACTATGAACTTAGAGAAGGAGCCGAGTCTGGTTATCTTTGTAACACACACACACACACACACATAAGGAGCCGAGTCTGGTTATCTTTGTAACACACACACACACACACACACACACACACACACACACACACACACGAGGCCTGTTTTGAGATGAGGTGCTTGCTCTGTGACCCAAATGGTCTCAAACTCCTGGGCTCAAGTGATCAAGTGATCCTCCTGCCTCAGCTTCCAGAGTGCTGGAACTTCAGCTGTGCACTGTCACCCCCAGCCCCAGGTCCACTTTTTTATCTCATGGAGAATCTCAATGGATGCTGCCCCAGGTAACCTGCAAAAAAGGCAGGTCTGGACCAGGGAAGCAGCAGAGTTCCGTCTTGTTTGCCAGCTCCGGTGGACTGGGACTGAGTTATCGCTGAACACGGTGGTGCTAAGGATCCTGGAGCATAGACCTGGTTTGGCAAGAGTTTGAAGTCAGCCTGAATGAAAGCGCAAACCTTGTTTCAAATAATTAAATAAAATTAAGAACTGCTGTGACAGTCCACCGGGCATGTGACAGGGACTGGAGGAGGGTCCAGGCTCCCGCGGGGCCCCTGTGCTCAGATCTCGCGGAAGGGTAGTAGAGTCCATCTGCTGTCCACTCCGAGGGTCGGCACCAATGGCCGAGGGCCACCTGGAGCCGATGCCACCCCCGAGGCTCCCGCCCAGGACGCTGAAGGGGACAGGGGTGACCCGGCTCCCTACGTGGTCACCTCAACCCACACTGGCCGGCCATGCGTCCCACGCATCCTGGAGTGGCATCTTGGCCCCGGGACCAGGTTGCAAGGAGCATTTTTTCCTTTTTCTTTCTTTTATTTTGCTCTTTTTTGTGGGGGGTGGTTATCAATAAGAAACCAACAAAATATACACTTGGTCAGAAAAAAAATGCCTTACGTTTATAAAATCATGGAGGGCTCAGGCGTCACTCTGGAGGAGGGTGACCCCGCTGAGCTGGCTTTGAAAGTCACCAGCAAATCATGCCTAAGAATATTTTAAAAAAAGAAGAAAAGAAGAAGAAAAAGGAGGAGGAGGAAGAGGAGGAGGAGGAGGAGGAGATTCGTTATGAGGGTTTTTCTTGTTTTTTGTTTCTTAACGTAGAATAAAAGAAAATTATTTATCGAGGAAAAAAAATGTGACTTTGGGACTGTGAATTGTGGTAACCAGTTTACCACAGACGTAGTATGGAGAGGAGGTACAAGTGGACAAGCTTTAACATTAAAAAGTGACAATAGAAAACAACATAAAAAGAGCTAAGTGTGGTGGTGCATACCTGTAGACCTCGGCCAGCACTCAAGGGAGGATGAGGCAGGAGGACTGCTGTCAGTAGGAGGCCAACCTGGATTACACAGGGAGACCCTGTCTCAAAACAAAGAAATGAACACAACAAAAATAAATAACAGGAATAATATCTGCTTTTCCGGAGGATGCCTCGGTCCCAGACTAGTGAAGAGCAGTCCCTATGAGAAAGAAAGTGGTCCTTTGCGCATTTTCTAGATGGTAGGAAGGACAATAGAAAACCTTAGTGGCTGTGGCCCCACTAAAAAGTCTACTCACCACTCACTTTGCCCAATTACACAAGATTTATTTTTGGCAGCTTTGAGAATTGGGTGAATGTGAACCAGCATGGCCGCCTCATGGTTCTACATGGTTTCTGTTGTCATTACAAGACTTGTACTCATGGTTCTTTTCTTGAAACTGCCCAGAAAATACTTTTGACTTGACCTAGAAGTCAACAAAAAGTAATAGGGGTTTCAGGACGTGGTGGCGCAAGCCTGTAATTCCCACACTCAGGAGGCTGAGGCAAGAGGATCACTGTGAATTCAAGGCCAGCCTGGGCTACACACAATTCAAGACCAGCCTGAATTACGTGGTGTGAGATTGTCTCAAAAAAAAAATCCACAAGATGGGCCAGGGATTTAGCTCAGTGGTGCCACCGACTGCCTCACAAGTACAAGGTCCTGCGATTGACCCCGATACAAAAAAAAAAAAAAAAAAAAAAAAGAAAGAAAAGAAAAATCCACAAGAGATCTGATAGTAATACTGAATCCTCACTTGAAAACATATTGTCAAGTGATATATTGATAAGAACTAGAACCCTAAAAACAGTTGCCTGCTAGCTAGACAGGTAGAGATTGGTACAAAAGCTAAACTAAGAGGTAAAAGAAACTAAAGAATTGGCATGGTGGGGTATGTTTGAACCCCCAAAGTAAGAAATAGTGCTAAAGAATTATCAACATGTTCAACTTTAGTACTTTTGATCAACTGCTTGAGGTTTGTTTTCTTCTGTATTTCTTCCCTTCACATGAGCCTCTATGTCTAATATTTGGAGAACAGCAGTAAGGATAAATAAACTAATGAAGCCAGCCATGGTGGCACAGCCTGTAATCCCAGCACTTGGGAGGCTGAAGCAGAAAGATCACTGGAAGTATGAGGCCAGACTGGACTATGTAGTGCGTTCAAGGCCAGCCTGAACAACATAGTGAGACCCTGTCTCAAAAAAATAAAACCCTCAAGAAACTAATGACAAATCCAGTAAGTGGATCCATCCATGATGATCACTGTTAGTTTATTTAGAGACAAGGTCTCAAAAGGTGACAAGGCTAGCTTTCCTAAAACCCTCTTCAGTGCGTCTGTCCCTGAGTGTCTCCCGCTCTGTGCACACACATACCCCTCTGTGCCTTTGGGAGACCTGGGATCCGCGCCCCAGGCTGTGGGCTCTCTAGGGGACCCTGTGCACAGTCCCTTTGCTTCCAAACCCTCACATGCGATGCTTCCAGCTCAGCTGTCCGCAAACGCAGCACCGGACTGCAGACAGCCTGGCAGCAGTGCAGGCAGTGGGACACGTTAGCAGTGCAGGGACTCCCCTCCTGCTCTTCCGATCCCTGATGTCTTCTGCTGGTGACTCTTGGGTGCCCACACCCCCTGCTTGCTTTACAAATCCCTCTTGACTGTTCAGGTCCAACTTCAGTGTCAGCTGCCAAGAATGCTGCAGGACAGCACAGATCCCGAGCTTTCCAAATCGCCTGTGTGTTTCCTTCAGAACACAAGTATTTTGACATCTGTCTGATCCACTTGCCTGTAAGGTCCTAAGAACAGGACTAACACTCCCAGCACTGCTGAGCACGGTATTGAGCAAGTAGTGGTGATTATCTGTTACACTGATGAATGGACAAACACCTGTAATTGTGGTTAGTTCTTTCCCCTGCTTATTTCCCTAAATCATCATTTTAGGTCCAAATTATCCCATTTATTTTACGAATAATTGTTCTTGCTGGATGGAGTCATACCTGTAGACCTAGTTACTCAGGAGGATGAGGCCAGAAAATTAAGATTAAGAGTTGTCTAGGGCTGGGGGTTTAGCTCAGTGGTACAGCGTCTGCCTGGCAAGGGTGAGATCCTGAGTTCCATCCCTGGTACCAAAAAAAAAAAAAAAAAAAAAAAAAAAAAAAAAGCTGTTTAACTTGGGCAACACAACAAGATCCTGTCTCAAAAATAATAATTGTTGGGCTGAGGATTTAGCTCAGTAGCACTGAGCATGCCTCGCAAGCACAAGGTCCTGAGTTCAATCCCTGGTACCAGAAAAAAAATTGTTTTTGTATCACTCTCAACTGATTTATAATTCTTGCTCATGTTTATCAGGCTATCTTTAAAAAAATATTTTTAAAGATAGGCTCTCGCTATGTATTTCAGGCTTGCCTTGAAACTTACTGCAATCCTCCTGCTTCAGCCTCCTGAGTACTGGGATTACAGGTATGCACCACCACACCCAGCATATCAGGTCACTGAGCTATGTCCCCAGCCCCCAGGGTTTTTTTTTTTTTTTTATAAGCAATTTATGAAACTTGGAGGTCGAACTCAGATAAATTTAAATTGTAGTTACATCTCTACCACTTACTTAGGGGTAGGGATATTAGGCAAGTTAATTAATTTTATTTATCTGAGAGGTTATTTCGAGGTTTAAGTATACCAATGCCCCACGTGATGATGATTCAGTCAGTGATAGACCACAAATATGAGAATGATGCTGAAAAGTTACAAGGGAAAGCCAAACATGGTGGCACCAACTGTAAATCCCAGCACTCTAGGAGGCTGAGGAAAGAAGATCACAAGTTCCAGCCCAGGATGGGTGACTCAGCAAGTCCTGCTCTCAAAAATAGTAATAATAATAAAGAAAAGAGGGCTGGGCATGTAGCTCAGTGCGAAGGCCCTGAATATAATTCTTAGTAAAAGATTACAACAGAGTTGGAAAATATTGCCTAGTGATGTCACAGGCAGGGTTGTTGCACATGGCCTGTGACAGTTGTGCTCCCAGACATATAAAAGTACATGACACACAATTATGTACGGTACATAATGCTTGATGGTGATAATAAACAACACTGTTATGGCTTATATCTTGATGTCCCCCAAAAGCCATATGCACTTATAGGTGGGGCCTTTGGGAGGTGACTGGATCATGAGTGTGTGACACTGCTTCATCCACTGGTGGGTTTATAGCTGGGTGTGATGCTGGGAGGTGAGGCCTGCTGAGAGGTAGGTCACTGTGGGCATAGAAGGGTGTGCGCGTATTTATCCTTCCTCCTCCCTTGATCACTGCCCTCCCCTTGCAATGCTCCCCGCCTACCCTGCCATGGACTGTTACTGCTCTGTGGTGCCCCTCTGCCATGCTGCCCTGCCTTGGAGCCAACCGATGGCAGACTGAAACCTCTACAAACTGAGCCCAACAACCTCTCTTGCTTTAGCTTGTAGGTGTTGGGTGTTTTGTCCTAGCAAAGAGCAAGTAACTAAGACAAACTCTGTTACTGGTTCAGACATTTACTATACTTTTTAGCTTACTCTGGCGTGTGCTCCAAGAGCTACGGTACAACTCAGTGGTAGAGTGTTTGTCTAAGATGTGCGAGGTCCTGGCTTCAGTTCCCAGGCCCAGAAGAGGGAAAAAAAGGCATCCTTGTCTCGTACCCTTAACCTATAATAAAGTTCACTGTAAAACAATGTGCCACGTCCTCAGGTTTGCTCCTAGTAATCAATTTTCCCAACAGCATGGAGAAAGGGGATACAGCCAGGTGGCCCTCGGGAAACAGGACTGAGCTCGCCTGTCAGCCGCAAAGGCCTCCCTCTGTTTGGGTCACCACCGAACAGGTGTGCTAGGGTTAGGAAATAATCTAGGCCTCTCTGAAAAGATTACTGCGTCATCATTCACTTCTTCACCTATCACTTCTGCCATAAGTTTTTACTGCATGTGTACCATTGAGCACGTTCTGTGTTAGGTACTAGGCATGCATCAGTGAAAGAGATGGGCAGTTTACGGTGGTGGAGCCAAGAGGGAAACAAATGTATTAAACTTAGCAAGCCGGGCACATTCCCACACACACTCTGCCTCTTGTCACAGGAAGCCCTGTCGGCCTCTGAGCTCTGCATGCACCAGGCATCCCTACATGTGGTCCCTCCACCTTGCAGCCACAAACCTGAGCCAAAATGAACCTCTTTTCTTTATGATTTTGAAAAAAAAACCAAAACTAAACTCAAAGTAAACAACACAATTCAAATTGTGACAAAGCTTATGGGGGAAAAATAAGAGAAAAAGAGAGATTTTAGATAAAAGATGAGTACGGTAATATTTCAGCCAGAAAATGAGGAGGAACTCGCTTCCCTAGTGGTGGAGGATGAGTCTCTGAGGCAGACCATTGTGGCCAGTGACACGAGAAACTATAACATGGGAGAAGCACTGGGACCTAACTCAGGGGCGTACTTGTCCAGCAGGTTCAAACCCCGGCACCAAAAATAAGCAAACAAGCAAAATAAAATGAAAGCCAGTGTATCAAGGTATGTCTTTTAGAATCTTTCTTTTACCAGTGGAACGTAGTAAATGAACACTAGTGAATTTTCCTATACTTTAGTGAACCCAAAGATGATTCAGCCCAAACAAGGAGCCTCTTTACCCATAAAAATAAAACTCAAAATAAAATGGAAAAATAAATGATTCTTTTGTTACAGTTTTAAACTTTTAAAAAATTTTCAGAATGTATTATTGGTTACATGTTTGTCCTCCTCTTCCTCCTGCAACTCAAACTTCGCAGGATCTGAGGAGGTGCTGAATTTCGCACAGGTCCAACCATCCCCAACCTGCCCACTTCCAGTCCCACCTTTGCTCACCAGATTGCAATTTTCTTCCACCGCACAGCCGCCTTCCTTCCCTTCCCACCTCTGCCCATCGGCCTCTCTCCTGCTGCTGGGCCAGGACACCTGCTGGTGGAGCCAGGTTCATCCCTACCCAGCAATGCGGGGCGGGGGGGGGGTGGTCAGAGCCTCCAGAATTCAGCCTTTTTACCTTTTTTGTGAGGCAAGCTCTCTACCGCAGAGCTACATCCTCAGCACTTTTGATTTGATTTTATTTTGAGGCAAAAGTTCTCAATGAACTGCCCAGGTGGCCTTGAGCTTTCAATGCTCCTGCCTCCACCTCCTGAGTAGCTGAGTAGTAGTAGTGCCCACTACACGGCTCCTGTATTTTGGTCTCCCTGTCCACTCCCTTCCAGCACATCTCAAGTTTACGTACACTGAAACCATTTTCTAAGAGGGAGCACATCTAAATTCTGACAAAAATGCTTCTACAGGGTGGCAGTCCCTAGCCACATCTATGCCTCTCTCTGGCTTTCCCTTTGCCCATGGTGCTGGAGTCTTCTCTAGAAACATGGAGATATTGGGGAGTTTCTTGTTTTTTGAGACAGAGTCTGGCTAAATCGTTAGGTGGCTCATGCTGGTGTCCTCTGGGCCCCTCGCCTCAGACTGCCCTGCTCTCCCAACGACCTGTTTCCTACAACAAATCAAGAAGCTGCCAGCTCCCTGGGGCTGCCAATCTGAGTTTGTGTCCACCTGTGAGCCTGGCCTCCATTTTTGATTTCTGGACCCTCTGCAGAGAGCAGCTAAGCTCACCAGCCCACCTCGTCCGCTTTCCTCTCCTTGGTGCAGCTAGGAGCTGGGGAAACACACACCAAAAGGAGAATTGGCGGAATGCCACAGAAAACACTGACTGAGCAGATTCCCCTTCCTCCTAAACGTAACCCAAGGAGGAGAAGGCTGGCGTCACCACAGCTCCTGAGACCCCAGGGAGATCGCTGACAGCTGATTTCTCCAGGGCTCCGCTCAGCGCGGCAGAGGGCAAACACGTCCAGTGATCAGTCACAGGTGTGTGAGTGGGGGTGTCAGGTGTTCACTTACAATCTTCCAAGCTTGAGATTGTTGTTCAAACCCAAAAGGGTACCAAAACACAGCCTTGCCCTTATTTGGGAGAATACCTGGGGTACACAGGAATTCAGCTCATGCACGAAGACAGGAGAACAAATACCTCACACAGGACAGCAATCTTGCAGCGTTCAGGCCCTGGCTAGAACCCTCCACTTCCTTCCAGGCTCAGACTCCTTTTAGAATTGGTGCTGAGACAATAACCAAGCAGAGGACGTTGCCGTATGGTACTAGTGGGCCCAGAGTTAAAAGAAAACGTTTTACCCTCCAGGTGCTCACGTCGATAGCCTATTTTTGCTCTGTGGCTGCCTATTTGAGCTGAGAGGAGAGGGCGGGTGTCTCGGAGGCCCCAGCTTCTACTAATACACAGTTAACCAGGTCTGCTTGAATAAACTGCTCACATTCTGTGAAAATCAGCACAACACTACTCTTCTGTATCCTGAAAAAGCAATGTTTTCCCAAATATTACCTGAGTTGACCGTCATGGTGCACATCGGTAATCCCAGCACTCAAGAGGCTGAGGCAGGAGGATCATTGCAAGTTGGAGGCCACCATGTGCTGCATGTGAGTTCAAGGGCAGCCTGGAACCCATCTCCCAAAAAAGAAGGAAATTTCTGGTGCCGGCCCATAAACTCGGCGTTGTCTGGTCTTGCTTAGTTCGCTAACTCTTCTCCACCCTTCTCGGTGTCCTGGGTCTTCCTGGACCTCATTTCAGCTCCTCAAACACTGGAGGTTCTTGCTTGACTGACCCTTGACATGCGCTGATGCCTCAATCTAGAATACCGTTCCCACCTCTTTCTGTGCTGGCCACTTCTTAGCCTTCACATCTTAATCTCAAAGTCCCCTTCCTAGAAAAGGTCTTTTTCCAAATACCTGTTGCCTTCTCTACGTTTTTTTTTTTTTTTTTCTTTTTTTTTTTTTTTTTTTTCCTGACACAACTCCAAGTTTTTCTTTCCCACGATCACTCATTTGGTTATTGCTTGTTGTTCTTTGTCTTACCTTGAGGGCAGGAAATACACTTAGCTGGTTCACTGCTGAATCCCCAGTAGCTGCCAGGATTCCTGACTTCTGTTTGCTGAAAGAGGATATGAACATGAAGGGTGAGAAAAACACCTAATGACATCAGCTCTCTGAATCAGTATTGCTTTAAACAGACTGATATTTTATTAATCTCCGCATACATTTTTATAATATTAACAAGGCATCATTTTTAACCACATAGGTGTAAGAGGAATTAGTGAGACAGGAGTTAGGATTCTATTAGGCAGCAAGGACAGCAGTCCCAAAATGGAGATGGGAAGCCCAAAAGAGTCTGCTGAGTCACGACCCTCCAGGGATCTTAGAAAAACATCTGCCAGGTGTCCCCAGAGCATGATCAGGCAGGCCATTGGCTCAAGGGCACATGGGCCCTGCATAGACACTGCAGATTGGACCCTGAAAAGTATGTAGTCTCCTATAGTGCTTACACAACAGCCTGAACTCTTCTTCTTCTTTTTTTTTTTTTTTTTTTTTTTTTTTTTTTTTTTTTTTTTTTTTTTTTTTTTGAGACAGAGTCTCACTGTGTAGTTCAGGCCAGCCTTTAACTCACTATGAAGCCTAGGCTGGCCTCAAATCATGGTGATCCTCCTGCCTCAGCCTCCCGAGTGCTGCGATTACAGGTGTGAGCCACCACGCCCAGCTGTTAAATCTTATTTAGAAATTGATTTTCAGTTCAAAGCCAGCCTAAACTGTACATTGAGACGCTGTCTCAAAAAAAAAAGAAAGTGTCTTTTTGCTCTGTCCTTCATTTTGAAGATATCCTTGTTGAAAAAAACAAAACAAAACAAAACACACAAATTGTTGGGTAAATGGAGATGACCCAGTAAAGAACAAGGCAGTCTGAGTTTGGGTGTCCTGGTTGGGACCTCCTGGAGTAACTCTGAAGGACAGTCCGAGCGCAGTTTATCGAGCTGGATCTTTTACAGATTGGGTGGAGTTGGTAGGATGGGTTTTGGGGTGATGCAAAGGGGAGGATGTGATATTGGGGAGCCAGAATGGCTGGCTATGTGGCTATGGCAGCAGCGCTGTGGCCCAGAAGGCAGGGCAGGTGTGTCCAGTCCCACACGTTGTTCCCAGATTTAGGCAGGGGCTGCAGCATGCAGGAACCAGCAGTGATTGTTTCTGGAGCTCAGGAACTTGGGTGACTGGGGACAGAGGGGGGTCAGACCTATTGCAAATCTTTTTCCTTTAAAAATGTCAGTAAAGTCAGGTGTGGTGGCACACGCCTGTGATCCTAGCACTTGGGAAGCTGAGACAGGAGGATCTCTGTGAGTTGGAGAACATTCTGGGCTACATAGTGAGTTCTAGGTCAGTCTCAACTACACAGTGAGACCTGTCTCAAAAAAAATTTTTTTTTCAGTAAAGGCCCAGCATGGTGGCACATGTCTATAATCTCAGCACTCTGAACAGCTGAGGCAGAAGGGTGGCAAATTTGAGCCCAGTATGGGTAATTTAGAGACTTAGTGGAGCTTTGATCTCAAAATTCTAAGGGCAGCCAGGGGTGTAGCTCAGTGCAAATGCTGAGTTCAATCCCCAATACCATAATTAAAAAAAAACAAAAAAACAAAAATAACCACCCGTGTGAGTGTGTGTGTGTGTGTGTGTGTGTGTGTGGTGGCATTTGAGAGGCTCGTGTAGGAGGATGGAGGCCACTCCGAACTACACAGGGAAACCCTGTCTTAAAAAAATCCAAACCAAACCCAAACAAAACAACCCAAACACCACCCTGTCTCAAATCAATAAACCAATAAAAAATGAAAAAAGAAAATAAAGTATTCCAGCGGCTTCAATCAGTTGGTTCTAATTCTACCTATGAATCACCAACATCTAACCTTTGCTCCTTGTAACTTAGTTTCACTAATTATGCAAACGCTTTGTTCATTTCACATTTTTTTTCCTTTTGGGTAGAGGGGATAGAACTGGACACCTTGCGCTTTTGAGGAAGGCAGCCGAACCACTAAGCTAAATTCCCGGCCCTGATGGCTTTGCTTTTACTATTTAAGTCCTAGCACACGAGGCAGAGACAAAGGAGACCTTCCTTTTGGTGGTCCGTGGCTGAACAGGAGTCCCCAGGAAGGCAGAACTCGGGGGAGCTGGGTGCCCAGGACCCCCGCTTCGAAGCCATCAGAGGCGCCGTCCTAGCAGTAGCCGGGAACTGGGGACGCGGGCGCACTGCTCTGTGTCCCAGGAGTCAGAGCCCGGGCTTCCCCGAGCATGGATGTGGGGAAAGGCGGGAGAGGTTAGCAGGTCCTCCCTAGGTCGCTGGGACTTCGCACTCAGCCGAGGGACCTCCACGGTGCTCCCCCGGGACTGTTAATAGTTAATCTCCCAGAACACGGGAATTGAAAAATTCTATGTAAATGACTTTCCATTTTTATACTACTAGCAGTTGGAAGAGACAGATTATAAACACAAACTTCAAAGGATTTACAATCTGGCACTCTTTTAATTGTGTTTATTCCAAACACTTTCCACATCAAAATGGATGTTTAAAATGAATCAATTTGATATAGTGAAGCGGTCCATCTTTGGTCCTGATGTTTATTAAATAGAAAGACTCAAAAATCATCCAATTATTCTTGGAAAATGTGCCTGGATGTGTGGTATTTGGAAGTCTATTTTAGAACCCAAATGTCATAGACATCTGGACACAAAAATTATGCAAGAGAGACCTTTAGAAATGTGTTACTAATTATTGATTCTTCCCTGCAATAGCACGGCCCAGCCTTCGTTACAGGCACTGGGTGCAGCCTGGCTGTGGACCATGGCTTGCTTCACCTTAGGGTTTGTTGCCAGGAGAGACTTCATATCCGACATCACAAGGCCTTCGAGTAAGACTCACACATAAACGGATTACATTAGCAGTATTGAAGAGGCAAGACCGCCATTTAGGAAAAAACTGTGAGGAAGAGGAGAAATACGAGGAAGCCAATTGAAGAATCGGGAGCAGGGCGTCGTGGTGCACACCTGTAATCCCAGGATTTGGGAGGCTGAGGCAGGATCATCTCAAATGCAAGGCCAGTTTGAACAACACAGTGAGACCCTGCCTCAGAAAAAAAAAAAAACTAAAATAAAAATAATAATTACAAGAAGAATAAAATCAAAGGCAAGATTTTACTGCATATAGCCCAGATTGGACTTGAACTTGCGATCCTCCTACTTCAGCCTCTTGAGTGCTAAGGTACAGGTATATACCACCATGCCTGGCTTTCCAATATTATTTATTAATTTGCTGCAGTATTGGGGTTTAAACCACATGCCCACTGAGCTACAGACTCAGGCTGTTTTATTATTTATTTATTTTTCCACTAAGCTTTTATTGGGGGGTGCTGAGGATAGAACTCAGAACCTAGTGCTTTTGGCAGGTGGCAGCACCACTGAGCCAACTCCCTGGCCCTACCATTAGGTTTATCGGTCCATTTTAGGTAGACAGTGCACTTACATTCACCGCTGGGATCTTGTACCTTCACGTGACGTATCTTGGTTCTCATTTTTTCCCCATTCTTCTGCTCTCCCTTCACCCCCTTCACCCTTCCTTTATTATTTATTTTGGGACAAGGTCTTGCCATGTCGTTGAATTGCCAAGGCTGGGCTCTAACGCCCCATCCTCCTGACTCGGCCTCCCAGCGTGCTAGAATTGTCAGTTGGGGTGCGCCACCACGCCCAGCTCCATATTTATGTATTTCGATCTACAACACGAAAAGGCTACGCTTTATAATCTTTATGATGTCCTTCCAATTCTAAAATACAGATTATGAGGTCAGCTAAGGCTGAGCAATATATGTATGGGAAAAGGTTCCAACTGTAGCGTTCAAGAAGGTAAGACTCTCATTCTCCTACAGAAATCGAATGGGATGGGGAAACAAACGGAGATAACTATAAATTGATAAAAATATAAGGGCTGATTAAAAATACAATGAGAACAATTTATTACAGTAAAAGATACGGGCCATTAATCCCCCTTAAAATGCTCGCCCTCGCCTTGGACACACTTATCCCATTGTTCTGTTCACTTTCTGGAGTCTTTCACGAATGCCTTTCTGTAGCTGTCTTGATGTCCTCCATTGACTGAACACATTTACAGTCATTTGTGTCAAATAAAAATATTATGGTGTGTTCCTATCCACCTTATTCACTGGATCTGGTTCTGTGCACCTTCTCGTTCTTACCCAAAGAGAAAATGACCATGAAAGATAAGTGTTTTGAAACTGTGCAGGGCATCAAGGCAGCCGGGACCAAACAACGGAAGATATTCATGAGCGAGGACTTCCAGAACTGCTGCAGAAAGGGACGATGAAGGTGGGATAAGTGTATGGGGGGAATATTTTGAGGAGAAATTAAGGGCAATGCTCTTCTACTATAATAATACATTAAAAAAAAACATGAAATGTACTTTTCTGAGATCAAACTCAGGACCTTGTGTGTGCGAGGCAGGTGTGATGCCACTGAGCTAAATCCCCGGCCCTGAAATGTACTTTTTGATCATGTATTGTACTTGGAGTTGGTAACACATGCCACAAAGGAACTGAGACAGGATTATATTATAGCTGGTCGTGGTGGTTCACACCTGTGATTCCAGTACTTGGGAGGCAGAGGCAGGAGGATCATCTTGAGTTCAAGGCCAGCCTGGGTTACCTAGTAAATTCAAGGCTTTCGTGAACTACATAGTGAAACCATGTCTGGGAAGGAAAAAAAAAAAAGACAGGCTCATATCCTAGAGAGGGATGGGGTGGTCTAGGGCAGCATTTCACATGTGAGCAGGGAACACGAAGATGTGAAGTCTTCAGATTTGGCACATCTGGAAGTCAGGCCTACCTCCTCCCCCTCCTCCTCCTCTTCCCCTTCCTCCTCCCCCTCCTCCTCCTCCTCGTCCTCCTTCTCCTCCTCCTCTTCTACCTCCTCCTCCTCCCTCTTCTAAATATACTTTTTATTAGTGCCTGGTAATTTACAAAATATCGGCATTGGTTTTTTCCTTGCACTGAACTTTCGTTTCTTTTTTAAATAGCAAAACATTTACTGGTGCATTTTACG